ATAAAACATTGAATTGGTTAGTTTTGGGGGGAAGTCTTGGACAATTTAAACTTGACTTTTAAACTTAACAGTCTTTTGTATTTTGTCACATCTTCTACTTATTTAACAGTTTGTTTAGTGGGAGCTGGGAGTGCACCAAACACACTGAGGTACTTAAAATCTTTTTAATTTTATTGAGGCTTAAAGGCAAGTAAGAACCTGTTGCCTCTGCTTGTTGCCAAAATAACATGGGGCAAGAGTAATCAGTTACAGTTGCTATAGGTAATTACAAGTTGATTTCATTGAGAAGTAGGAACACTATATTTAACAATAAAAAGTTTATCAGACATAAAACTTCCCTCTTCCCTACACAGCCCAAGGAGGGGAAAACTCTCACCAAAATATCATTTTAATGAGCAGATTTCAAAAGTGCTGGATTGTTGGGAGACATCGAGAAAGACTAATTGCAATTATTGTCTCTGATTGTCTTTATTGATGCCACATTGAGAAGAGTACCAGGGTGAAAGTTAGAAGGGAAAGTAGTCAAGCAAACTGTTACACTATAAAGATTCCCACTTATTAGACTGTCCACATGCAGTGGCATTAAAACTTCCTGAAACTGTTCCTTGTAGTTTGAAAATTATTTCTTTTTGAAGTCATTATAATGGTTTTCTTTTTATTTCTTTTCTTTTTTTTTTTTAAGACGGAGTCTTGCTATGTCACCAGGCTGGAGTGCAGTGGTGTGATCTCAGCTCACTGCACCTCCACCTTCTGGATTCAAGTGATTCTCCTGCCTCAGCCTCCTAAGTAGCTGGGATTACAGGCATCCGCCACCACACTCAACTAATTTTTGTATTTTTAATAGAGATGGGGTTTCACCATGTTGGCCAGGATGGTCTCAATCTCCTAATCTTGTGATCCGCCCGCCTCGGCCTCCCAAAGTCCTGGGATTATAGGTGTGAGCCACCGTGCGGCCCTTTTTATTTCTTTTTAATTTTGTGTGGACTTCAATGGTAGAAGTTATAGTTGATTTGACCAGAAAGGGACATGTGCAAAACCTTCCTAAAATATTTCCTTTTTATTTTCTTGTGCTGTTTGCTATATCTGTCATCATTAGGGCCCCCCTAGAATGAAGCAGCCAAGTCTTGGGTTATCACAAATAAAAAGATAATTTTTATATCATTTTCTTTTGCTAAAGTGATCTGGATATCAATTAATTTAGCATTAATTATTATGTTGTATGCTGTCATTAGTCATGTTACATTGTTAGGTATTAGTCACATTACATCAGAACTATTTTATGCAGCCTCAACTTCTTTACTAAAATGTGCAGTAGACATCAAATCACAAATATCAAGACTTTTGAACAGGGGTGAGGGCAACTTTTTTTGGTAAAAGGCCAGAAATAAGTAGTTTTGGCTTTGTAGGTCTTACAGTCTGTGTCTTACCTACTCAACCTTGCTGTCTGTGTGAAAGCAGCCATTTATGTAAATGAATGGGCATGACTGTGTTGTGGTTAAACTTTATTTTACAAAAGCAGGTCATGGGACTGATTTGCCTGTGATCTCTGCAACCCAGCTCTTGAGCAAGGGTCACAGACTTTGCTGTGGTTAGGCAGGTACCTCAAATGAGTCAAGTGAAGTGGCTGTGGGGACTGTGACTAGCAAAGGTCACATCCTTGTCTAAAATGGGCAGCTACTTCTTCCCTATAGCCACTTGTGACTGGCTCAGTGATACCAGATCTTGTAATTCAAGGGTAGCTGGGAATTTGGATTTTTAGGCAAAGTCCTTTTATCAGTTGGCAACTCATTTAGATTTGTTAAGGAAATATGGTTCAGGTCAAGCTACACACCTTTGTGAGTTCTTTTCTGGTCCACGAGCTCTAGTTAGCAAATTCTGGTATTTTCAAGTGTAACAGTGTATTATGTGTCAATAAGAAGTGCCTGTAGAATGTCATCAGACATGGATAGCAAATGTCTAGCACTGGTGCTGCCACTCACTAACCCTTGTAGTGCCCATGACAGACATCAGTAATTGATCATAACACTCTTTCCTGCTGAGCTAAGAGCAAGTTTCAGATTTCTTCACTAGGGCTCTAAAAAGCTGCAACCAGCCAGTCATGTCCCCTGATATAAAGGTATTCATCATTCCCATTCTAGAGGTTTCTAAAAAAATGTTTTTTTAATTAACCTAGGAAATGACTTTGGACTTTTATTGTTATTCTTTAAAAAAGAAAAACCCAGTTAAAAGATGCTCTTAATTAAAAAGTACTTGAGAAAACATGTATTAGAATGGCAGGTATGAAAAAAGGTAAGATTCTGTTAATATGGCAGTGTTAGATTTTAGACCAAACTAAGGGGACTAAAGAGTATCCAAAGTAAAATGTGTCCTTAAAAGTCACTTAGCAGCATTCCTTCCTTACAGAGACCATGAACTTGGCTTTCTGATTTGTTCATTTTCAGCATGCCTAGTGCAAATTAATGCAAATGAATAGTTATAAAGGGGAGTTTCTTTTTTTCCTTCCTTTCACTGCCTTTGACCCTTCTGCATGGTTGGTGGTAGAGTACGACATTCAGAATTTAGGTGCCATCTGGGATGCATGTATTTTTTAAATTGTTTATGTGATATGTACATGATACAGCCCAAGGAAAGCATGCTTTATTGGCCATTTTGAAAGCTTTGCATCTTTTTGTCTTCCTGCATTACTTCTTCTTCTACCCTCTGCCAGTCTAAACACTGTTGTCTTTCAGGTTTGACCTTCTGTAAGAGTTCTGCTCTAATTCTGTCGTTGAACCTCTGTCTTCTCTAAACTTCTTTAATACTGAGGACTGTACTAGTTTAGCAGCAATGCCATGCTTTCTTATGTCCTTTGGTTTTAAATTTCAGGCATTTTTGTTTTTTTCTTCCAAATTAACATTTTCTTTCCCTGCCATCTAGCACAAGGACTGTGAATGGTGTGATCTAAAAGAACATTTTGTTTAAGCAAGCCACGGTGTTCATTGAATGCCTTCTCTGTGCCAATCACTAGGGCTATAATTGTGGATGAAACAGAAAAACAGACTCTGCCCTGGAAGATCAGAGTCTAGTACAGCAGTTTAAAGTCTGATGGAATTTCAATTTAAAATGTCCCCTTCATGGTAATCAGTGATGCACATTTACAGCTCCACTAAAAGGTAAAGCTCCAGTGGAGCATAGCTCTGTTTCAGTCACTGACATATCCCACATGCCTGGCACAGTGCCCAGTAAATAGTAAGTGCTCAATAAATAATTATTAAATTAACTTTTAAAAGTTTTCATATAGGGTTTTTCCTGCAGGGCTGTGATTATAGGCAAATCATAGCGTGTATACCTTCTACTTTTTTTAGTATGTCTCCCACTCTTGTACCCCAGAAAAATCAGTCTTGAGTATCCTTTCAGAAATGTTGTATTCCAGTCTTGTGTATCCTTCCAGAAGTATTATAAATATTATATTATTATCCTTCCAGAAAAATCAGTCTTGAGTATCCTTCCAGAAATATTATATGTGCTTGATATTTATTTATTTATATTTATTTTGAGACAGAGCCTCACTCTGTTGCCTAGAATTGAGTGCAGTGGTGCAATCACAACTCACTGCAGCTTCGACCTCCCAGGCTCCAGCAATCCTCCTACCTCAACCTCCTGAGTAGCTGGAGCCACAGGCAGGTGCCACCATGGCCCACTAATTTTTTTTTTACTTTTTGTAGAGATAGGGTTTCACCGTGTTGTCCAGGGTGGCCTTGAACTTCTGAGCTCAAGCAATCCTCCTGCCTTGGCCTCCCAAAGTTCTGGGATTACAGCTGTGAGCCACTGCACCCAGCCTGTACTTTGTTTTCAATATGAGTATAGCCTATTTATTTTTTTCTCTGCAAATATATTAGATAGTTCCATATCTGTATATAGTCATATTATTTTTGGTGACTACGTAGTATTTTATTGTCTGGAGAGATCAAAATTTATTTACCCAGAAACCTACTGATGAACATTTGAGTAATTTCTGATCTTTTGCTCTTACAAGCAATACTACAATAAATATACTTGCTCAACAGTCATTTTACAACCCCTGAAAGTAGGACTTTTCGTATACATTCCTAAAAGTGCAATTTCTATAAGAGTCAAAGAGCTTATGCATTTGTAATTTTGATAGTATTGCCAAATTGTCCTCTACAGAGAGTGTGAGTGTGCCATTTTACTGTACTCTTACTAACACTGTATTGTTTTCAAACTGATGTTTTCTGATTTGATAGGTGAAAGTTTACCTCTTTTTGGCTTTAACATGCATTTCTTTTATGTGAATAAATTGGAACATATTTTTATATGTTTATGAGCTAGTTTTATTTCCTTTTATATACTGTGTCTTTATAACATGCTCAGTTTTTAATTTGTCTATTGGCCTTTATCTTATTGATGTATTGTTGCTCTTTATATATTTAGAAAAACATTCCTTGGCTATTCTTGCTTGTTTATATTTCCATGTGTATTATAGAAACAGCTTTTCTAGTTGCTAACCCCACTCATCTAAAAAACGATCCCTTTGGTCTTTTTATTTATATTATGTCAAATTTCTAGATGAATTTAGAAAGTACTGACATTTCTGTGATGTTCAGTCTCACTTCCTAAGAACATAATTTCTCTTTACATCTATTTTTTATTTTTAAAAAGTAAAACAAAATTTTAAAATAGAGATGGGTCTTGATTTGTTGCCCAGGCTGGTCTTGAATGCCCGACTTTAAGCGATCCTACCCCTTGGTCTCCCAAAGTGCTGGGATTATAGGCATGAGCCTCCACACTTGGCCTATTTAAGGTTTCTTGATGAAAAAATTAAGGACATGTTAAAAATAAGCTAGAATATCTTTTAAAAAAAAAATGACATAAAGGGAAGATATATTCCATTTAATATTCGTATTTTATTAAAATGTCAATTCTTTCTAAAATAGCAGTTATAAAATTCAGGAGCTTAGATTAAACATTTCCTTTCTGATCATTTTCTTCTCTTTTGGCAGGCCCTGAAGAGGAAAGTGATGATGACTCTCATTTCGAAGGCAGAGATCCTGATATTTGGCATGTTGGTTTTAAGATCTCATGGGACATAGAGACACCTGGTTTGGCAATACCCCTTCACCAAGGAGACTGCTATTTCATGCTTGGTAATCTTTGGAAAATCAAAATTATATTGAGACTCTAGTGTCTAAATTTAGATTATTGGATATATATTTTGAATATGTCTTATGAAATAAACTTTTGGAGTATTTTATATTAATAGTGAAACTTCTTTATAAGAACATGTAACTAGGTTTTTCTTTTTTGAGAGATTGCTAAAATTTTTTTTTTTTTCTTTTTTTTGAGATGGAGCTTCACTCTTGTTGCCCAGGCTGGAGTGCAGTGGTGCAATCTCTGCTCATTGCCATTTCCACCTCCCGGGTTCAAGTGATTCTCCTTCCTCAGCCTCCCAAGTAGCTGGGACTACAGGCACACACCACCACACCCAGTTAACTTTTGTATTTTTAGTAAAGACAGGGTTTCACCACGTTGGCCAACCTGGTCTCGAACTCCTGACCTCAGGTGATCCACCCGCCTTAGTCTCCAAAAGTGCTGGGATTACAGGCGTGAGTCACCATGCCCGGCCCTAAATTTTTAAAAGTTGTTTTTCTTTTTATTCTATGTAGATGCAGAGTTCCTCAAATATGCTAAACAATTTTCTGGATTCTTTATCAAAGGTATTGAATTATCCAAGTCAAATTATAACTTTAAAAAATACTTTCCTGTCTGTATTAGTTTTTAGTAGAGTTTTGTTTTCCTTTTTTTTTTTTTTTTTTTCCTAGTTTTGAATGTTGTTTCTTCTCAGGAACAGCTGACCTGACAATGGGGCCTTTCTCTCAACTTGTCATTTAGTTCTTTGGGAAGCAATATCTCAGCTGTGGTTAGGCCAGCTGAAGATGTGGAGTTTGTGAGGCTTTGTTTTTTTCTTCTTTGCTGTAAGTTTTTAATTTTATTTTTGGACTTTCTACTTGTTTTCCAATGCACGATGTGTAAACAGTATCCTTTTTTACTCACAAAGCTTCTCGGGGTTTATTCTCTACTTGGCTCTAGTTCCTGATTATTTGGGGTTTATCTCATTCCTGTCTATCTGGAGAAATCTACTCATATGTTGCTTTTGGAGCCAGGAAGAACCAGGGCTGAAGCCCAGTATTTATGATAAGAGTTGATTTCCAGTTGATTGGGTATTTTAGAGTCCGCTATATTCCAGGTACTGTGTAAGGTTCCAGGGGAGATATTGGAGGTGGATGAATCTTGGTTCTTGCCTTTTGAGAATTCGGAGTACGGAATAGCTGTTTAGGCCATTCTGCCACTAAGCATTTTCCAAATTGAAGCTCATTGCGTATCAGCTTCAAGGTTTTGGTCACATTGGTGTACTTCTGCCTAAGTAAAGTAACCTTTAATCTTTCACTGAATTGAATTTATTTTAAAAGGAGATTTTACATCACTATCTTAAATGGAAATCCAGTATCACTAGGAATAATTAGAAGGGCTTTAGAAATATAAATATAGAGAAACCAAAACAGTACTAAGGGCCTGCTACTTTTGTTTGCTGGAGATCCTGAGTCTGAGTCCTATTCTGTATTTCTTAAGAGAGGAGATTAGTAACAGAGAGGTGTTAACTGTATAGTGGTGCCAGTCTGAGATTTCTCCGTAACGTCTGCAGGAGGATTGGGGGATCATTGTGTAGGGACTCCTTCAAGTAGTGTGATTTAATGGCGCTTAGTGCAATGTCCCTTTACCTCTTAAATTCTTCTCATGAGGAGATTCCTTCATTTCTTGAACACTGATCTAAGTATGCCCTTCATCTCTTGCCTTCCATGTGAACATTGCTTTGCAGTTTACACATCAGTTTCACACAGGCAGCCCCAATCTCCTGTCAGCTTTGTGAGGGAGATGGCAGAGATTGTTCATCTTTTAAGTGATCTTCCTAAAGTCACTCAGTTATGAGATAGAACAGGGACCAGAATGGGTGGCAGGCATCTTATGCAGTGCTTTTCCTACTCTAAATGAGGCTATTTCAACCTGATCCCAGTACACTGAAATCTCTGTGTGGGAATGGTTTTAGTGTTAAGGTTCTCTCTTCCCCACTGTCTCTCCTGCCTGATCTCAGGAAGTAAGTTTATCTTTTAAAGTCCCTACCCCATCATTGAGTTTCATTTGTAGGTAAACATTATTTCATCTTTTTTTGTACCACCCAAATACAGATATTCGGCCTGAGTCTTAATAGATATTAGTATCAGCCAATAAATCACTTTCCTTTGGATACTTTGTTCAGAAGTTTCTATTAGCAATGTGTATCTTTCAAAGAAATAAGAGCCAGAATGTTATCTTTTAAAATAGCTTTTAAATTTTTTAAAATATAAAAGTGGCTGGGTGCTGTGGCTCACACCTATAATCCCTGCACTTTGGGAGGCCGAGGCAGGTGGATCACCTGAGGTCAGGAGTTCGAGACCAGCCTGGCCAACTTGATGAAACCCCCTGTCTTCACTGAAAATACAAAAATTAGCTGGGTGTAGTGGTGCATGCCTGTAATCCCAGCTACTTGGGAGGCTGAGGCATGAGAATTGCTTGAACGCGGGAGGTGGAGGGAGCCGAGATTGCACCACTGCACTCCGGCTTGAGCAACAGAGCAAGACTCAGTCTCAAAAAAAAAAAAAAAAAAAAGTATATAAGTACTCTAAAAATTCAGCTGTATTCCATATATTTAATAACATCTTATGTGTTCTTTTCTGATTAAAAAAGCAATGTGTGCTTATTTGAGAAAAAAAAAACTCTGGAAAAAAAAAGAAAGTCTGAAATGAAGAAAGAATATAAAAATCATGTTAACGCCTGATTTAATATATTTCTTTTCAGTCTTTTTCTGTACGTATATGTCTGGAATTATAGTAGTAATATGAATAAAAACCAGATTTACTGGGAATTAATGACAAACATTCTTTTAATCTTCTCAGCAATCCTGAGAAGCAAATATTAGCTATACTGCAAAAGAATAAATTGAGGTTAAATTTATGTAGTTACTTAACCATGGCTGCACAGCTAGTAAGAAGCATGGATTGTATCTTGTCATCTTACCCCACTTGGAGTCTGACATCCCATGTCAGGCCACCCCTCCTTCTCCCTTAGGGATGCCCTCCTCACCCTACTCCCCACTGAACCCTGCTCAGGGTTCCTGTGCCTTCTTCTTCCCACCTGGCATGATGCCTCTGTCTCACCTAATGGCTTTAAGACTAAATTGTTCAGGAAGGGAAGAAAAGAAGTTAATGATATTCTGTTTGTTTCTTTTCTATTCTTCTTAAGGTTATGGGTTTCTTGGGGTTTAAGAACTGGATTATAGGCCGGGCGCAGTGGCTCACACCTGTAATCCCCGCACTTTGGGAGGCTGAGGTGGGCGGATCACCTGAGGTCAAGAGTTTGAGACCAGCCTGGCCAACATGATGAAACCCTGTCACTACTAAAAATACAAAATTTAGCTGGGTGTGGTGGTGGATGCCTGTAATCCCAGCTACTCGGGAGGCTGAGGCAGGAGAATTGCTTGAACCCGGGAGGCAGAGGTTGCAGTGAGCCAAGATCATGCCATTGCACTCCAGTCTGGGCAACAAGAGGGAAACTCCGTCTCAAAAAAAAAAAAAAGAACTGGATTTTAATGAAAATTTTAAATAATGACATTATTCATTGGATTTTTGTGTTATAATGAGTATACACTGTAAAATATACATTGGGCCCCTTGAGCTATTGTGCATGATAAACAGAAGAAGTTAGTGTTATTTTATAGGAGCTGATATCCAAGACATAATATAAAATCTACTCTTGATTTCCCATGTCTTATTTTTAGATGTAGGTGATAATAGTTGGTATCCTACTGAACTGTGCCAAACACAGCACAGTATATCCCAAAGTCTGCACTTAGAATATATATTTTTATTAGGATGTCATATTTGATTTCTGAAATGAGTCTTCCTAAAGGAAGATTCTTTTTAAAAAAATTCAAAAGTAAAGGCAACCATGGTCTAATGCTGCCTTTTCTGTTTACTTTTAAGTCCAAATAGCACAAGGAGCCCCGTAGAGGGAGGAACTTCGGCCCCGTGCTGATATCTGAAATCTGAACTTCATAGCACTTATGAAAAGGAAACAGTTTAGCTCAATTTATAATAATATATTGGTCTGCAGAGGAAGTGCAGGCTGAACCCTGCTGTCTCAAGTAAATACTCCAGGGGTGTCTGATGGGGAACGTGTCGGGTGCCTGTAATAAATCCACTGCCCATGGAAGTGAGTGAAGTCCTTGTTGGCAGTGCCTGAGGACACGCTTAACTGGGGTTGTCACGGTTTTACTTTTAAATTGGAATCTTTGCCCTAATCTCAGAGTTAGACATGACCAGATTTGCAAACAGATTTACAATTTTCACTAATTTTCCAACCAGGACTTCAAAACACACTCAGAGAAAAAAAAAAACACTCTGGTCTTTCTCAGAGTAGGATGATTTACTTTGCCACAGATGTTTTCCATAGACTGAATGTAACCAGGGAGTTAGGGACTTAAAAGTGGCTTGGAGACAAACCGTGGGTTTGTTTTTTGTGGAACAGATTACACAGTTCAAGGGACATCAACAAAATTATGTTTATTAACCAGGAGCTGGGTGTGGAGGTGGGATGTTTCAGGACAAAGGTGAGTGCTAGGTAAACATTTGGGGCAAAAGCCCTCTTTTCCCCCCTTAATTTATTATTGTTGTTCTTTACATGTCACCATTGATGACTCTATTCTCTCTGCTCTATTTACTTTTGTTTCTTAAGCCCAACTAAATCTCACTTTCAAGGATTTGTTGTTACTATAACAATCAACAGTTTCAAAACTTAAGTTGCCAGGTAAAAATTCCACTGCTAAAAAAGAAAACTGCAATAGAAATGTAAATGCATAGCCCTTCTTTTTCGGTTTTTCTTTACCTCGTCAACAGTTTAGGGTAGAGTAATGAAAGGACCATATTATTTCTATCAGGTAACTGAGTCCCAGACTCACCGCATTGTCAATTGCCTGTGTATTGCTAGTGCCTCTCTGAGTCTCTGCCTTCACTGTAAAATGGGAGCTTAATGATTCTTCCTTCTCAGAGTTTTT